CACCGCCTCTCCCTCCGGCGGCGGTGTCACCCTGGGGGGGGAGAGGAGCGGATGGCAGGGTCAGGAAAGCGCTTCTGGGCCAAGAGACGTGGCAGAGAAGTAAGTTGCATGATCGGGCGTGGCATGAATGTGGAATGGTGGTGAGGAGGGAAGAAAAATGCGCGTGAAACGTGTCGAGGAGGAACAAGGGCCGTGTCCACCAAGGACAAAATGGTCATGAAGGACGGCTTCGCGGGCGTATCGATGTGCACGTGCATTAATTCCTTCTACGCTACCATGAACTTGTCGTCTCGCGAATCATGCGGCCTCCTACCTTGAGCAGCATAGACCTGGTTGGCGACCAGATTGATCTCATACGCGGCCCTCACCTATGGGGCATGGGCGAAGGACACGAAAGGCACTGAATTGAAAGCCCTCAGCATAGTATCGCATGTATTTATACCATATAATACCTTGATACAGATATAGAAAGAAAAAGTTATCCTCGGGATGCAAAAAATTGGGTCACAAAGTCGACGTACCTGGAAAGCCCCCTCCCTCCCCAGCCTTCTCAATGCTCCTTCTAAAGCCTCACTCCAGCCACCAATGCCACTGTAAAATTCCACGGCCCCATGTGTGGAATCATTTTCCTTCCAAGGTCCCTCGGTCACATCGCCCATGTCTGACGCCCTCTGTCTATTGACTTTTGGTAGTGTCGAATGCCGTCGTTCCAGACCCCGCACGCGCCGGGGTGGCGGAAAAGTGCTACAACTCCACACGCGCTCAGGGGGAACAAAGGCACTCGAACGACTGGCGAAGTGCAAGAGAAAGTAATACAAGGGCAAAAAGCAGCAGATTGTCCCTGTGGACATCTTTGAGGGAATAGTGTGGCATGAATGATAAAGGGAGGGACTGTCGGCACGTAAGTTGATGCTGCGGTAGGGGAGGGGAGGTAGGTGAATGGGGAGGTTGTTAATCAGATCTTTTTTCATAAGATGTTACACGCTTCCCATCCTCACCCAAGTCCTCACAGGGTCTCAGTATACAAGAAAACGGGCACTGAGGGCCAGGTTGCTGTAATGTCTTCCGAAATTAATGACGGGGAGCCCGCCAAGGATGGTCTATCGGAAAGGGAGGGGCAGGAGGGCAAGCTGGAAAGAGGGGGGGACGGAGGGGGGGCTGCCGAGACGCAAACAAACTCACCACCACAGCCAGCAAACATGAAAACTAAGGAGGCAGAAATGCTTATTAAGCAGGCAAGATAGAGGTTGTCGAGTCTGTGTCAAGGGAAGGCTTGTGTCAGTGCCCAGGACTGTCTAGATTCCTCCGCCTGCAAGCTTGCTGTGAAAAGCAAAGCAGTGCATAATGTAGTCGATTTGGGCATATACGGGGCACATGAGATAAATTATATTTTAGGGTACCCGTGTTTGTCGTTTGAGCTCATCCTCGATGCTTTCCTTTCCCCGACTCCACCTCCCGCTTTCCCCCCTCCCCCCCCCTTCCCTTCCCCTCTTCACAGGCATTCGCCACCCAGAACGCGGACCTGTCCAGGGAGATGCACAAGGCCAGAGCGTCCATAAGTTCACCGTCGAGGTAAGGAAGGAGGAAAAGCGGGGCGGAGGAAGAGAGGGAAGAAGGGTTGGAAGTCACGGCGCCCTGGCAGTGACGGTGAATCGGACAAGCGCTGATGAAGACGAAAGCAGAGAATGAGCGAATGCATGCGTTCCTGGCCCTCCTTAAACCCTTCGGGCACGACCAACGCCTCGACCCTCCTCTCCTTTCCTCCCCTCCTTTTCCCTCCCCTCCCCTCCTTCCTGCCAGTGCGGTGGCCGGAGCTCCCCTCCCTCTCAACGGCATGGGGCTCTCCACCTCGGGCTTTGGAGGCTCGATGCCCGCCGAGGGGGGACACATATGGCGAGAGACCGACATTTC